TTCTTTTCCCACCCACGATTAATCCCATTATCTATGGTGTCAAGACAAAACAGATTCGTGATCATGTTCTCAGCTTCTTTCAGAGAAAGGATGTGTAGATCGGTTCTTTTCTTTTCTACCAGCTTTGTCCTGAGTGGATGATAGATGATAGATTGGATGGAAAGGAAAAGCCTTAGGATAATTGCAGAAATTCTTTGTCTAACAATTCTCCAGAGAGAGACAGAGGGTTAGGGGAGGGAGGAGATCCCATTCTTCAGAGGTCTCCAAGTCAGCTCAGAGGAGGTGTGCCCCTGGAGTCCATCGCATAGCAAAGGTGTGACTATCCCATCTTTTCACACTCACGAATCATTTGATTAAGCAAGAATTCCTAAAATGACATTGCTAGCTACATGGACCAAAGAAGAAATACTTGCTGAGATTGGCTCAAGCTGATAAGATTGTGGTGCCTACTCTATCCAGAGTATGAGTGAACAAATAAATTACAAATTTGATGACCTAAGGACTGACACACCATCAAACACCTTATCATCTCTTCTAATCAATGACTTTCAGCCTCTGCTTCTCTGCCTTTTGTCTTTCAATGCTATTGCCTGTGTACTTGGCCAGTGCCACTTATAATGAGCCTTATGCCTTCTGTTACATCAAATTATTAAGTTCCTTTTTGAGATATATGCATGGGCATACATACATCTGATGTACCTTCTATGTCCAACTATGTATATAATTTTTTATTTTTATTATTATGTACATAGCTTTTTATTGGTTGAACTTTTAGCCTGGGATATGATTCAAATTGTGATCTTCCTGAGCTCAGCTTTCTGAGTATCTATAATTGTAGGCATGAGCCACTGCATGGATATTGGGTGCCATATTTTAATTATGGACTATGGAAACCATAGTAATGCTTTTCCCTCTTCAAGCTGAGACATCTGAAGGTAAGACTATAGTTACATATAGACTGTGATGGAATGTTAGGTTAACAACGAAGCTATCTTCTATAGTACTTCAGATCTTCAAAGGATTATTTACAACAGACTTATGAATGACTCCATTTCTACACAACAGTTTGAGAAAAAGGATCCTTCAGAAGTAAGCCATCCTAGCATTATGGATAGATACCATTCTTGTTGCCAAAAGGATTGGACAAGAAGATAATGAAACATTAAAATTGAGTTAAAAGTGATTTTGTGACTTTTCTAAAAACATGCACTGTCTTTAGAGTTCTGACTATCATAGATTTAATTTCTGCCTTGGATTGGATAGGGGAGAGAATGCAGAAAAAAGCCCGATATGTCAATGAGTTTGATCAAGAAGGCAGAAGCCCTATGAGTAAAATGAAATTAGGAGTTTATTTTAGATATTAGGCCTTAAATAATCATGGTAAATAGACAGGAAGAAAACCTGGATGTGATTAATGTCTCAGAAAAGAACAATCAATGAGGATGATTGGAATCTATAAGCAGAGCTGATAAGCCACTTATTCTGAAGGGGATTATACTAGTGCCTTTACCACAGAGATTCACAGCATCCCTGGTAAAAGACTTGGAGGAATGGAAGGAGAGATATAGTGGGAGATTATGCTCTAAGGTGCCAATGTAAATCTGAAAACTGGTGACAAGGAGCATAAACCAAAGCAGAGTCTGTACTCTACACTGACCTTCAGAAAATAGTGATTGCTCTTTTTTTCTACTTCCTGGTGTTACAAAAATGTGTCTTCATGCCAGTCCTCACTGGGAATCACAGAGGGAAAACAATCCTGGGAAATGCAGTTTCAGCCTTGTACAAAGCCTCCACAGCATCAAACACAGCTAGTAATAATGTTAATAATAATTGATAACAATAATAATGAACAGTGACTTTCTTTTAAAATACAAGAGCACAAGTTTATTTAGTTTTCATTAAATTCTGGAGGCATACAGCATCACATAGGATCTGTGTCCAATGGTTGCTTCAAAATTTAGCAGGAACCCTTGCACCGTTTCCATGAATGTGAGTTACCTTTCCTCGGATTACTCTGGTTTTGTTTGGTTTGCCGCCAGGAGTCACTGTGTTGTTTTTGCTTTGTATCCCTAAGAACATCTCTTGCCTAAGTAGAAATCGGTATCACCTAGGGCATAACCACCTTCAATTTCAAGGAGAGTGGTGTGTTCAGAAATGGACTTGCCCCACAGCCTTCCTGACATTTTGTCATTTAGAAGTCCTGTTCCCAGCAGGCTTCCAGAGGCTCCAAGATGGCAGAGAAAACAATGACTTTTTTGAGTGAAAATCTGCCTGCTGACCTACCTCTTTTCTGTTCACCTATCTATGCTATCACAGATATGTCATTTTAACTTAACTTTAACATATTTGTATCAATTGTTTATGTACTCTATTAAAAGCTCACTCCCACCCACTCACCTTTCCTTGCCAATGGGACTGAACCAGAATATATTCTGGGAAGGAGAAATCCTTGCAAAAAATTCTCATCCAACTCATTTTGGTAATAAAATAATTTTACTTGTGGACTACGGTTGGTGTCTGTCATCTAAAACTAGCAATCCAGTTTCCTGAGTGGCTGAAAACAAAATTAATCAACCAATCATATTATTTCCAAAAAATATTTTCTTTAATAATACTGCAGTAAAGATGTAACACTGATTTGTGTTGTCCAGGTAAGGTTTCCAGAAGGTTACCTCCTTCAGATCTTAGACCCCTGTTCTAAATCTTTTTCAGTGGCATTTCTTATGGCCAGTTCCTGTCTAACTGGAAAGTCATGCTATAGGTTTAACTCGGTGAGGCTGGCAAGGGAAAAAGAGAGAGAGAGAGACAGAGAGAGAGAGACAGAGAGAGAGACAGAGAGAGACAGAGAGAGACAAAGACAGAGAGACAGAGAGAGACAGAGAGACAGAGAGACAGAGACAGAGAGAGAGAGAGGGGGAGAGAGGGAGAGAAAGCAAGAAAGCAATCATTCATTCTTTGTAAATTATGTATAATGTACTTCTATCATACTCAACTTATCAGCCTCTCATTTTATCCCCCCTTCCAAGTTCCTCTTGTACATTCATATCTTTTTGTTTGTAAAATCTGCCATGCTGACTGACCAAACAGTCAGGAATATTAAGTGAGTCACCATTTATAAGGGTGGTCCCATTATACTATGCATAGGAAGATAGTTACATCCTAAATGAGGACTGTTTCTTATTGCATAAGCAAGCCTTCCATGGCTTTAAGGCCTGTGATGTCTTAATTTATCCTCAAAGGTTTTGAAGGTAGGCTAACATCCACATTTATTATTACACATGCCAGGCACTGTTCCAAAGTCAATGAAATAGGTACAATTAGTAGTCATATAAGAGAAGCAAACAAAATACATAAAGGTAGAAATGCAGAGTATAGGGTCAAATTTTGATGGAAAAACAAGGCCCCAGAGGCAGTAGACCTCTCTTCCTTATGTGCTTAGAAGAATATCAGGAATCTATTGCTTAAAGAAGGAAGAAATCTCTGATCTGGTGGCTGTCGGGGAAAGTCAAATGTACATGGAACTTCTTCAAAATGACTCGAGTGAGGCCAAGGGGAGGGGGGCAGACAAATGGAGAGAAGGAGGGTAGTAATATAGCCATAATATTCAAGACATGTATGTGCAAATGGATCTAGGAAATTTGACGTGATGCATGGTGTTGGGAGAGATGAGGAGAATTATGAAAGGGATGGCATTGATCAAGATATATTGTACTTATACATTGACATGTTGAATTGAAACCCTTCTGTAAACTACTTGAAGATGATAAAAATAAAAATTAAAAAAACCCAATAATGTGACTCTTTCCTCAGTCCTAGAAGACAAGAATTGAACTTCAGATAATGCCAGAAACGTAATATCAAAACACCAGATCAGACATAAGCTTCCTCTTGTGATGTTCATTACCTTTTATTGTGAATCTCAAAACCTGGGTTGTGAGCTGGGTGCTGGTAGCTCATGCCTATACCTAGCTACTTAGAAGGCTGAGCTCTGAGAATCACAGTTTGAAGCCAGCCCAGGCAGGAAAGTTTATAAGACTCTTATCTCCAATTAACCACTAAAAACTCCAGAAGTAGGGCTGTGGTTCAAAGTAATAGAGCATTGAGCACAAAAGTTCAGGGGCAGTGCCCAGGCCCTGAGTGCAAGCCCCAGGACTGGTACAAACAAAAACAAAACAACCACACCACAAAAACCTGGCTTGTATAGAAGTGGGAGAATTAGATATTTTCTAGGGTGTTCCTCTCCTTTCCTCTATAACCATTCTCACTCTTTCTTACAATTCCCAGCCTCATCATTAATACCAAGGGTCAAATGATCAAATCAGGCCAAAGACACTAAATTCTTCGGAGCAAAACCAGGAGATCCTATCCCCCAAATAGCTAAAGCCAAAAGGGTTTGGTATGTGGCTCATGACATGGTAGAGTGCCTACCTAGAAAGCATGAAGCCTCCTAGTATCATCAATAGAACACAGGAATGCTCCCTCATATTCATATTTTCTCTATCTTAAATAAATGTCATTTTTTGGGGGGCAAGCCAAGAGTACTGGAAAAATTTGCCAAAGCAGTAAAAAAAAAATCCTTGCAAATGTTTAACAAAACATGTAAACTGTCTTTAAGAGGGTGGTGGAGAAGAATTCTGTGTTACAGAAATTGATTTTTAAAAAAAATAACATTTGTCATAGAGAAACTAGACCTCTCTATAAAAAAATAAAGGAGAGATCTCATTTATTGTGGTCTGTATGTGTATGCTCAGTGTATTTAATTTCAGAAGTAGAAAAGAGAAGGGATGGGTGGCACAAGAACTTATGATCTAACTTTCCCTTTCTACTTTCCACATTCTGCTGTGTAAAAAGCCCATGATCAAACAGAATAGACTTTAAGATTGTTTTACGAGTCTGATCTCCGCCATTCAGGTAGGACCCGGGTTATTTCCTAGGTCTTCCTAAGAGGACTCGCTTCTTATCATTACTAAATATTTACATGCCCCACAGACCTGGGGCAGTCATCCGGGCTGAGTCCCTGCTTTAATAACGTGGAGAAGTCTCTCTCGAATCTGCTTGGTGCGAACAGCATAGACGACTGGGTTGAGGATGGGTGGGATGAGAAGATAAAAGTTGGCCAAAAGAATATGGATATGGGGAGGTACGCGGTGGCCGAAGCGATGGGTAAGAGATGAAGCAGCAATAGGGATGTAGAAAACGAGGATGGCGCAGATGTGAGAACCGCACGTACCTAAGGTTTTAAGCCTGGCATCGGGAGTGGCCAGTCCCAACACAGCCCTGAAAATCATCACGTACGAGGCAGCGATGGCTAGTGAATCCAGGATTAATACTAGGAAGCCAATTCCCATTCCGTATAAATTATTGATCCTTGTGTCCCCACATGCCACGGTGACCACAGCCATATGTTCGCAGTAAGAATGAGCAATGACTTGGGTCCGGTAAAGGCGAAGCCTCAGACGGATGAGTAAGGGCAGAGGTCCAATGTAGAGCACCCCCCGGAGCAGAGCAGCCAGGCCTAAACGACCCACCACCGCGTGGGTGAGCACCGAGGTATGGTGTAACGGGTCACAGATGGCCACATAGCGGTCAAAAGCCATGGCCAGGAAGATGCCTGATTCCACAGTGGCAAAGCAGTGGACGAAGAACATCTGGACCAGGCAGGCATCCAGACCAATGTGGTGAGCCCCAAACCAGAAAATGGCCAACAGTTTGGGTATGGTAGAGGTTGACAGAACTAAGTCAATGACAGCCAACATGCACAGGAAGAAATACATGGGTTGATGCAGGCTGTGTTCCATCTTGATCACTGCCAGGATGGTGACATTTCCCACCACAGCTGCCAGGTACATGGAACCAAAAGGGATGGAGAGCCAGATATGTCGGGACTCCAACCCTGGGATGCCAGTGAGCCAGAAAGAGGTAGGCACAGAGCAGGCATTATTAGAAATGAACATATTTGAGGAATGTGCAGGTATCCAGGCTCTCTTGGTTTTAGACTTCTTCTCCTTTGAGAGATGCTGCCTCTGACCGATATAGAGTAGATCTGCATTTCCATCGGGGTAAGTGGCAGCACCTGTGACAAAGAATTCTACACGTGAACTTGAAAAATCATTACATAGCACATATTTTATAAGGAGTATTTATGTTGTTCACAACGCTTGATAGGAAATGTACTCCTTATCTTGCCCACGTAATTGTAACCCCTCTGTACAGTATGTTCACAATTAAAAAAAAAAGAAAAAAAGAAGTATTTATGTTGTTCAATGTAGAAATAGGCATTCTTGTTATTGCTGCTGCTAAACTGCCTGAGTGTATGGTAGAAATCTCCAAAATTCTGGGTTACTTTGCTCTAGACATCTTCATTTGGCAAACTTTTCCTACATAGAGTGGAAAATGCAGAAAGGTCTCTGTGAGCGTAGGTGGATCTGGCTTAGCAGGAAACTGCTTGTCTAGCAAGCACAAGTCCCCAAGCTTCAACCTTCCCCAAACCCTTCCCCCATCAAAACACAAAACAACAATAACAACAAAAGAACCCCAGAAAAGTCTCTCTGTAAGTGCTCAATATAAATCCATACAATATATTCATTTTAGTGCCCATATATACTTTCCTTAGCACTGACAAATAGCAATATTAATATGAATAGCAGAGTAATTAGGTGTTGGAAATTTTTATATTCATGTAAAGTTGGAGGCACAAATTGAAAAATAGAATTGTGTTAAGTTCTACCGTACACTCTCAATGAGTTAAAATTATGTTAATAATTTTAGATATATGCATTTCCGGTATAATTTTTATATATTACAATACATAATAGAATAGCAGAGGGCAAGTAAAAATGTGATTAAATTTTATTAAAATGTACATGTGATATAGAAACATGTACTTAAATAGAGAAGTATGTGGGGAGACTTACACCATACTTGAATTTGTTGATTTTGGTTCCATGGGATTATGAGAGTATTACATTTTCTTCCTTTTCCATGTATGTATATTATGATTGGAAAATAAGCTTATAAAGGATCAAGGACTGACAAAATGCAAGGCGATAGTTTTACCAGAAAAATATATTAGTGAAATGGAATTATAAATATTTAACGGAGGACCTAATTTATTTCTGTCCCTTACTTTCTTCCTCCCTCCTCCTCCTCCTCCTCCTCCTCCTCATCTTCCTCCTCTTTTTCCTCCTCCTTGCCAATCCTGGGCTTGAACTCATGGCCTGGGCACTGTTTCTGAGCTTCTTTTACTTAAGGCTAGTGCTCCATCACTTGAGCCACAGATCCACTTCTGGCTTGCTTTTGAATTTGTTGGAGATAAATTCTCACATGCTTTCCAGCCTGGTCTGGCTTCGAAACATGATTCTAATATCTTAGCCTCTGAATAGCTATGATTATAAGCATGAGACACCAGTGCCTGGCAGGATTCAATTTCTAAAGAGAAAAAAACCCTTCTCATTTTTTAAATGCTGAAATAGGATGAACATGTAAACCATTTGATGAAAAGAATAAACTGAAATAAAATGGACAGCAAGATCTTTCTAATAAATAGTGTCTTTATTTGTTCTTGTTTTATTTTGTTTTGTTTTGGGATCAAGGAGATCACTAACGAACTGGCCATTGTTTATAAAATCCTTGTCTGCTTTTTGTCCTACCTTAAAAAATCTTGGTGCTTTACCACCTTAAGTTACAGAATCAGAGAACACAGGCCTGGTTACAGTCCTTTCCCTTTTCATCTTCTTCATCAGATTCCTAGCAGGGAAAGCAAATCTGATAACATTCCACATGTGCATGATGAGTTTCTTCACACATGATGAGTTTCTTCTTTGGCTAAGAAATCTCCTCATGCCCATCCCTCAAGACACATTCCAGATCATCTTTCTTCTGCAAAACCCTCAGTGGTATCTTTAGCTTACACCAGAGTGAGTAAATAAGAGGTGAAAAACATAGTCACTAAATGCCCTATAAATTGTTTCAAAGCCCATGCACATTTCACATTTTGTCTCAAGTAGAATACCAATAGTGTTTCCATTTTATATATGCATGTGTAGCCTTGGTTCAAGTTCCTATACACCAGTCTTGAGTTTTCTTCTTTAGTCACTAAGCATTGTGAGGATACTATGCAAGTTTTGTAGATCCTAAAATAGTTCAAAGTTTTTTTTCCCACTAAATCTGAGGCTTGGGTATTTAAATATGTAAATATCTGATAGCACACATAGAGTTACTTCCTCAGGGTAACAGTTGAAGTAGTTCATATAGGAAAGAGCTTAGATTTCCCATTCTAGACCTTCATCTCACTGTTTGAGCAAGCCGCTTAACCATATGTGAAAAGGGGAGAACATTTACAGCAAAGGAGAACTGTAAAGAACAAACAAGACAAGGGTAAAACTCTCGGCACATGGCAGAACTTGTCTGTCCCTGAAATTCCCACTGTTCATTATGGAGAGTTGATATGGAAATAAACATTTCACAGAGTTAGAATTATTTCCCCATATTTATGTTACAGGAGATGAGGATTGAAGGCAAACACAGCAGGGGCATATGTCGGAACTGTTCTTTACATGTACTGTGATGGACTAGCATTGGAAGGCAGAAAGAGGCACAATTTACTCAGTTCTCAGGGTAGTTCAGGGTAGTGGCTACTCACCATAAGAAAATCAGTGTGGGGGCTGGGAAGGTGGCTCAGTGGTAGAGTGCTTGCCTTGCATGCCTGAGGCCCTGGGTTCGATTCCTCAGCACCACATAAGCAAAAAGAAAAAAGCCGGAAGTGGTGCTGTGGCTCAAGTGGTAGAGCGCTAGCCTTGAGCTGAAGAGCTGAGGGACAGGGCCAAGGACCAGAGTTCAAGCCCCATGACCAGACCCCCCCCCCCCCCAAAAAAAAAAAAGAAAATCAGTGTGTAAGGGTGCCCTGGGATCTAGATTTCTACCTCTAATCTGTGGTACAGCCAGCTCAGCCAGTGAAGGTATCACTGAGTTTTAGTCAAGGACAAAAAGAATATCAAATGCATGGATTAAAAATAACCAAGTTAAAATGGTTATTTTAAGTGGTGGTCTGAACGAGGTTGTGGCATCTAAATTGTGTCATTTTTATCTAGAGAATTCCAGAGAAATATTTTCTGTCAGCCAATGAAGGAATCCTTACCTGGATACTGGTGACATGTCTGCAAACCTCAGAGAGGCGTTCTGACAAACTGAGGCTTCTGGAAGAGACATTATTATGGTAACATAACCATGGATTAGAAGGAAGAGAGGTTCAAAGATTAATTCTATTAGTTTTCTAATATTAGACAACGTAATTTCTTTGCTTTTGGGCTTAAAAAAATGTTTCCTCGTCTCTAATGCAGTAAAAACAAAGACTACCAATGAGTTGCTTCATATATCAGATCAACTCTGTGTGTGTGTGTGTGTGTGTGTGTGTGTGTGTGTGTGTGTAACCACAAAAGCCAAAGTGTTAGGATGCCTTGCTTCTGAATTAGCACTGGATTCCTTTACTTCCTCCTTCTCTTTGGTCTTTTCCCTTCTACAGAACTTAGAGAGTGCTACTTCTATGTGACTGTTAGGAGTCCATCTCCTAACAGTGGATGAATACATAACTATAGCTTTAACTATTTTTCCTGGTCTTGGCACTTGAACTCTGGGCCTGAGCGCTGTCCTTGAGCTTCTTTTTGCTCAAGGCAAGTGCTCTACCACTTGAGCCACAGCACCACTTGCAGCTTTTTTGAGTAGTTTATTGTAGATAGTGTCTCATGGAGTTCTGAACCGCGATCCTCAGATCTCAGTCTCCAGTAGCTAGGATTACAGGTGTGAACCACTGGCGCCTGGCTATAACTAGCTTTTCAAAGCACCAATACAATCAGTTGCAGAGATGAGGTTGAGATGTCAGGTTAGGGGAGCAGATGGCCTGATCTTGGAGACTCAGTGTTTTCTCTCCTGGTCTAAAGGAAGCCTTCTATCTTGGGGCTTTTGGTTTTCCTCTGACTCAATCCAGTATACTCAAGTTATTCCTTCTGCTTTTGGAATAGACCTGTCTGTGAGGAAAAGAAACCCTGGACACACCAAAAGACAAATCAGTCTTTGGAGCTTGAAGACTGCCTCCACTATGTCTCCCTGTTTGCAGAGTATACTTACCCAGGGGGATGCTGTCCAGAGATACAGTCTCCTTTCTTTACAGAGGTCAGCTCTTGTCTCGAGGCTTGGAGAACCTTAGCTGATAGGGCAGGCCACACCCCTGATCTCTTTCTTCTGTTTCCTTTATTTAGGTTCTTTAAATAGCCAATTACTTCCCCAGGGTTGCACAGAGAATAGTTACCCCCTTAGGAGCAGGCTTTAGTCTCTCACCCACTTCATCTCCAAGGGATGGGACACAGGCATTTATTCCTGTCTGCTAGACCCTCAGCTGGCCCAAGGCTTCCGACTCCCCTCCCGTGAGCCTAAGGTATTAAAAAACTTTATGAGTTAAATTGATAGAGTTCATAAAAGCAAGATGGGGGACAAACCATTGTATATTGGTACAACTAATACAGATATTTTGCTTCTATTAAAAAGAAAACCAATAACAGCCTAAAATATGACCTATATAAAGAAGAAAATGACAAATAAAAATGTTGACATTGTAATGCTGTATTCTACACATACTTTCTTCAGTCTATTTTCATTTAAAATGAATAGTTGTAAGTTGAAAGAGATGTGTGTGATGACTTCACTTAAAGTTCCTAGAGTAGTGGGAAGACTAGTTTTAGTTTTACCACTATACCATAGTGGCACAGATATATTTGTCAATATATTTTTTTTCTGCCTATGCTTCTGATAGCGTCCTAGAAGGGAAATCATTGATGATTAGGTAGCTCATGACTCTTGTTTTGAAGTTGCTCCCTTAAAGCATTTTCCCAGCCTCTGTGTGTGTGTGTATGTGTGTGTGCCAGTTCTGGGGCTTGAATTCAGGACTGGGGCATGGTCCCTG